CAACGGTGAGCATAAGACTACTACCACAATTTTAGCCAAATTTGAAGTAAGCTTGATTTTTATTTAGGAGAATCCAAGAGCTGGCCAATGAATGTGTGAGTCGAGTTAAAGAGAGCAGCCCCAAATCTACCTCCTGGGCCCCTCTTAAGGAGTAAAATCAGAGTAGTTTTTACAAAACACAGACAGTGGGGCAATAAGAAAATACAAAAAAAAAAAAAAACTTAAAGAAAAACATCGTGTGGTCATCATGTGATTAAGGAGGAGTCAGCAGCGAGGGTCAGGCTATTCTCAAAAACAAATCAAGGTCATGGGTTGGGGAAGGTCAGCTTCCAGGAAACAGTAACTCAGCTCTCACAGTAAAATAGAAACTTGTGTTTAAAAATACAGCATAATCTCCTGCCTTCAAAATGGAATCAAGCAGCTTCCTCACTGGCCCAGAAGGTGTAGGTGTGGGAACTGACCCTGAGCACATGAAAGCCAGAGAAGGGGCCCTGCCTCTTGCTCATCACTGTGAGGGGTGAACTAGCCAGGGTAATGCTGGAGAGCTCCCCCTGGTGGTGAAGACGGGAGAGCTGGCTGGCTGACCAACCCTGCAAGTATCCAGGCCAGAACCACAGCTATGTACTGACCCACCCCAGCATCCACCCCATCTGTAATCTGCTGGACCACGGTGGGGGGGGGGGGAGTCAATCCTGTGTTCCCAGAGCTGCAGAATCTCCTCGACACAGGACAGCAACGTGATGTACGGGAAGAGTCCCAGTGATTGCCTAGAATTGAGGGTGCAGCAGAGACTGGGGGCCTCAAACCAGACCAATGGTTCTTTCTGATAAACACCTGCATGTAAAAATGTATGAATAAAGGGGTTTACTGCGAGACTCACTGTGTCACACTGCAGCTTCTATGACAAGATTTTTCCTTTCTTTTTTTCTTTTTTTTTTTTCTTTCTTTTTTTCTCTTCAATTTTATTTTGTTTTATTTTGGAGTGGGGAGGGATATTGGTGGGATCAGGAGGCACAAAAAATAAATTTTAAAAAGCCACTGTAACCACAGCAACTCTTTTTTATTGTTTTTATTGCCCTGTACATTATTCTTATAAACTTGGGGACTTAGAAATTGTAAGCAACTCTTGGGCCTTGCTTACAGTTTCAGAGATTTAACCTATTAACCTCATGGTGAAAAGCATGGCCACACACAGGCAGACATGGTAGCTGAGACTTCTATATCTGCATCTGAAGGCATCAGGAAGAGAAAGAGTCACTGGGCCTGCCTTGGGCTTCTGAAACCCCAATGACCAATCCCAATGATGCATTTCCTCCAAAAAGGCCACACCGACCCAGTAATACCACACTCACTCTAACAAAGATACATCCCCTAATGTGCTCAAATAGTGCCACTCCCTAAGCACTCAAATCTATGAGCCTGTGGGGTTCATTCTTATTCAAACCATCACATTCTACTCCTTGCCCCCATAGGCTTATATATAGCCATATCATAACGCAGAGATGTACTCGCTCAACTTCAAAAGTCCCCATAATCTATAACAGTTTTAACACTGTATAAAAGTTCAAAGTTCAAATCTCTTCTGAGATGCAAGGCCATCTCTTCTTACCTGTAATCCCTGTAAAATCAAAGTAAGAAAGCAGGTCACATACTTCTAACGTACAATGGCACAAAATACACAGTATATCCAAAAGGGAGGGGGATAGTGAAGAAATACTGGACCAAACAAGACAGAAAACTGTGAGTCTTCATCTCTGGTCTCCATCTTTGAAGGCCCCGTTCCTGTGTCCACCAAACCTTGACCCCTCCCCAGAGGAGGGTCAAGACAGCCCGCCAAAATCTTGACCACTCCCCTAGTCTATTTAAACTGCTCCCCCAGAAAGTCTCCTCATGGTCTCTTCCTCCCCCCATCCCCTCACCCCATGATAGTGTTAGCAGCTTCGCGGTTCCCCCTCAGAGCCACCCAAGAGTGCAGGAATCCCATTAAACCTGGATATTTTTTAATTTGTCTTCTTGTGATTTGGCTTGATTGGGATTTTTTATTAATTAATTTTTTATTGACTTTATTGAGCTCTGTATTCTTCTCTGCTCACCTCTCTGCTTCACCCCTCCCCACTTCATCCCTCCCCCAAGGTCCCCAAGGTCCCCATGCTCCCAATTTACTCAGGAGATCTTGTCTTTTTATACTTTCTACTTCCCATGTGGATTAGATCTATGTAAGTCTCTCTTAGTGTCCTCATTGTTGTCTAGGTTCTCTGGGATTATGGTTTGCATTCTAGTTTTCTTTGCTTTATGTTTTTAAACCATCTATGAGTGAGTACACATGATAATTGTCTTTCTGTGTCTGGGTTACCTCACTCAAAATAATGTTTTCTAGCTCCATCCATTTTCCTGCAAAATTCAAGATGTCATTTTTTCTGCTGTGTAGTACTCCATTGTATAAGTGTATCACATTTTCCTTATCCATTCTTCGATCATGGGGCATTTAGGTTTTTTCCAGATTCTGACTGTGACAAACAAAGCTGCTATGAACATAGTTGAGCACATGTCCTTGTGGTACAATTGAGTACCCTTTGGATATATAGCCAAAAGTGATATTACTGGGTCTTGAGGAAGGCTGTTTCTTAATTTTCTGAGAAATCTCCACACTGACATCCAAAGGGGCTGTACCAGCTTGCATTCCCACCAGCAATGCAGAGGTGTCCTCTTTTCCCCACAACCTCTCCAGCATAAGCAGTCATCAGTGTTTTTGATCTTGGCCATTCTTACAGGTGTAAGATGGAATCTCAGAGATGTTTTGATTTGCATTTCTCTGATGACTAAGGATGTTGAACATTTCCTTAAGTGTCTTTCAGCCATTTTAGATTCCTCTGTTGAGAGTTCTCTGTTTAGGTCTGTACTCCATTTTTTTTATTGGATTATTTGTTCTTTTGGTGTCCAAATTCTTGAGTTCTTTGTATATTTTGGAGATCAGACCTCTGTCTGATGTGGGGTTAGTGAAGATCTTTTCCCATTCTATAGGCTGTCGTTTTGTCTTGTTGACCGTGTCCTTTGCTTTACAGAAGCTTTTAAGTCTTAGGAGGTCCCATTTATTAATAGTTTCTATCAGTGTCTGTGCTTCTGGGGTTATATTTAGGAAGTGGTTCCCTGTGCCAATGCATTCAAGTGTACTTCCCACTTTCTCTTCTATGAGGTTCATTGCGGCTGGCTTTATGTTGAGGTCTTTGATCCATTTGGCCTTGAGTTTTGTACATGGTGATAGATATGGGTCTATTTTAATTCTTCTACTTGTTGATATCCAGTTATGCCAGCACAACTTGTTAAATATGCTTTCTTTTTTTCATTTGATATATTTTGCTTCTTTGTCAAAAATCAGATGTTCGAAGATGTGTGGATTGATATCCAGGTCTTCTATTCAGTTCCATTGGTCCTCCTGTCTGTTCTTAGGCTGTTTTCAGTACTGTAGCTCTGTAGTAGAGTTTGAAGTCAAGGATTCTGATGCCTCCAGAAGTTCTTTTATTGTACAGGATTGTTTTGGCTATCCTGGGTTTTTTTGCTTTTCCATATGAAGCTGAGTACCGTTCTTTCGAGGTCTTTGAAAAATTTTTCTGAAATTTTGATGGGCATTGCATTGAATCTATAGATTACTTTTGGTAAGATTGCCAAGAATATATTTTTAAAAGGAAAAATTTCACTTGATAAACTAAATGGAGTTTTTGTTTTATAAAACTTTACTGATTTTTTTCTTTGCTTTCTGAGAAATTAATACCTTTTTGATGTACAAAGATATAATATTCTCATGTTGCTAACTTTCTAATGAAGACATGTTTGTTTTTCTTAACTTTTTTTCTGAAACCAAGCCTCTTATATTTAGCCCAAGATACCTTTAAAATGCTCTTCCTCCAACCTGAGCATCCCAAGTGCTATGATTACAGGTTTTCCCCCACCAAATCTGGCTCCGTAAGAAGAATTTCTTCTGACATTGTCCACAACTCTTTTTAATACACAAATAATAATACTGTATATTAAAAAAATAATAATACTGCATATTCTGTTGGAATACAGTGCAATGGTTCCTGATAGGTATATGTGTGTGCTCATCAAATGTGGGTAGTTCACATTCCTCTGTCTTTAAATATTTATGCACGTGTTTGATGAGAGCCCTTCTCGTTTCTCTCTTTCATTATTTTTTAACCCAATACAGAATTAAGCTTCTGCCTTACACAAACTAGACAAGTACTCTACTATTAAACTGCATCCACTTCCTCTGCCTCCTGAGTGCTGGGATTAAAGGCATGAACCACCATCCCCAGCTTTATTAAACATTTTTAGAAGCTCTATGCCCCAGTCCAATTGTAACAAGAAAATAAATATGTCCCAAGGAGAGGAGTGCAGGGAATACATAATTGGGAATCACCCTTCTGTTCGTTTCTTGATAATGAGAGCAAATATTCAATACAAGCTCCTCTGGAATAATTATCAAGTCCACTTTTGTATACCATATTTTAGAAAAAATATTAAATGAGGTCCACAGTAAAATGATAGACTTGTGGCTGGAGAGATGGCTCAGCTAACTGCTTAACTTAACTAGACCACTTGATGCTCTTTCAGGGACCCCATGGTTACTCAGTATCACCTATAACTCCAGTTCCAAGGTATCTAATGCCTTCTTCTAGACTCCATGGGATCCTGCACACATATGGGGCATTTAAACTCAGGCAGGCTCGCACATACACACACAAATATAATTAATAAAGAAATCTTTTTTGAAAATGACAAATTTCTGTATCTTTAAAGCTAAGCCCTTTGCTCAAGTAAAAAAAATAATATCAAGAAAAATTTCCTTCTAAGTGTTTATGCTTATGCCCATAAGTCAGAGCTGCTTTCAGGTTTGGGCAGAGAAACTTCTTTTTGCAGTGGCAGCAATTAGTGCAGAGAATATTAACTTTGGCCACGAAGCATTGTGAATAAGGGAGTACTGAATGTTCACCCCTAAATAGGACATCATTTCACACCCTCTACGGGCCCAGAAGTTATGGAAGAGGGAGCAGAAAACGCTGCAGAGGTGGAAGAAAAGGTGCAGTCCTATGGAGCAAAATCAGTTATGATTACCTGCAGACTGACAGGCCCCTCAGCATTCTGTCCAGAGGTGGTCAGGAGTTTGTGGGGCCCCCTCCACTCTCTGAGGATTTGTAGACAGTTAACAGTTGCTAGAGGGTAGGGCTTACGAGAGCCACTCATCCCTAAGGACCTATAGTAGCTCTATGAGGCAGGAAGAGGTATTTAACAGTGGTTCTCTACCTTCCTAATGCCACGACCCTTTAATACAGTTCCTCATGTTGTGATGACTCCAACTATGAATTTGTCTTCGTTGCTAATTCATAACCTTTTGCTACTATTATGAATAATAATGTAAATATGTGATATGCAGGAGGGTCTTAGGTGACCCCTGTGAAAGGGTCCTTCCAACCCTCCACAAAGGGATTACAACCCACAGGTCGCAAACACTGCTTTAGAGGTATAAGCTCTAGTAAGGGCCCATTCTTCTAATGAGAGACAGAAAGTGGATCCAGAGGGGAGAGGAGCTGAGGAAGAGCTGGGAGGAGTAGAGGGAGAGGAAACTGTAATATTGTATGAGGAAAGAATCTATTTTCAATAAAAAGAAATATACCTTTCACTCTGATATGGCCCTTTGTTCACCCAAATCACTTACTTATTCTTATTCTTTAAGATGTAACACTGGGGGGGCTGGAGAGATGGCTCAGAGGTTAAGAGCATTGCCTGCTCTTCCAAAGGTCCTGAGTTCAATTCCCAGCAACCACATGGTGGCTCACAACCATCTGTAATGGGGTCTGGTGCCCTCTTCTGGCCTGCAGGCATATACACAGATAGAATATTGTATACATAATAAATAAATAAACATTTAAAAAAAAGATGTAACACTGGAAGTTTTATTTAAAAATTAGATTTATTTTATTTTACAGATATGAGTGTTTTGTGTGCATGTATGTATTTGCATTCCATGTATGCCTGCTGCCCTGGGAGGCCAGAGAGGGTGTCAGGTCCCCTGGAACTAGCATTATGAATGTTTGCGAGCCACCATGTAGGTCCTGGGAATCAAATCCAGGTCTTCTGTGCGAAGAACAACTGTTCTAAACCACTGAGCCGTCTCTCCAGCCCCAAACAGTGCTGGACTATCCCATCTTTTCTCTACTCCTGTTCTGGATACTCAAGACCTTCCCTACCGGGGGCTCAGTGGGCTTCCAAAACCCTGGGGCAGTTCTCAATGTGCAGGCAGTACAGAGGCCAGGGGAGGCCATCAGGGTTGCCTTAACAGAGGGTTCACTTGGACTGCAGGCTCTGGAGTGGGGCACAGGAGGGTAGGCAGGTTTTGCAGACAGGAGCGTGCAGCTGCGGGAATTCTCTGGAGCTTCCTTCCCTTCTCTGACCTTGTCCTTGTCTTAGCCCTAGAGAGCAAAACATAGCCAAGCAATGAGAAAAACCAAGGGCACAACTCTGCAATCCTAGTAACAAGTGTGAGAAAAATGAATATAGCATCTCCCACAATGAAGAGTTAAGCGGCAGTGCTATTGTCTGCCCTGTGTACTGTGTTAGAATGAGACAGATCACATCAGCAAACGAGAAATGCGAAGGAATCAGGAAGAAGCGCGTGGTGCTGGCACATGGTTTGTGGACAAGGCCAGAAGGATTCACCAAGTGTAGGTTCAGGCCAGCAGCAGTTGGAAATCTCTACTAGACACAGGATGAGAGAAGCCTAAAAATAGTCGTACAAACGGCGACTTCAAGGCAGAGATGGGACAATCCTCTCCCCATGTGCCTTTGTACACTAACAGGAAAGCTACCCTCTGGGGCTGATAGGGGAGCCCCCCCCCCGTCGTTGCCCCCCCCCCCCCCCCCCCCCCCCCCCCCGCGCGCGCGCCACCACCAGGCTGCCGGCTTCCTTCTCTGCTGGGCTCTACTTCTTAGTTCCCAGTGTTCCTGCCCCAAGCCCTAGACACCCAAAGAGAAGACTATCCGGGTTGGGCACTGAATTTGCAGGCTGGACCCAGCTTGTGTGGAAATTTAAACAACAAGGGTATTTTTTTTGCCTGGGGCCTTGGTCAAGCCAATGCTAAGATTCTCTAGCAGCCACATTGCTCAACAATTACATAGTCAGCAGATGCAACAATGGGACTAATAGTGAGAGGCAGACCAGAGCAGACTTGACCCAGAGGAGCTTGTGTCATGTGATTCCCAAACAGCTGAGCAGAAAGTTTATAAAATGGACCCGAAATCTCTGCGAAGTCCCAAGTATTTTGAGTTTTCTTTCGGGTCAGCCCATGCTGAGAATGAACTCCGGGTATTTAAGGACTTCCGAGACAATCACATATTTACAGATGTTATCATCTGCGTGGAAGGAGAGAAGTTTCCGTGCCATCGCGCTGTTCTCTCAGCCTGCAGCAACTATTTCAGGGCCATGTTCTGTAATGGCCACAAGGAGAGCCGCGAAATGTTGGTTGAGATCAAAGGCATCTTAGCTGAAGCGATGGACTGTTTTTTACAATTCGTATATACTGGAAAGGTAAAGCTCACAGCAGAGAATGTTCAGTATCTCGTCGAAATATCCAGCCTCTTTCAGGTCAACGGTCTCTGTGACGACTGTGTCCATTTTCTAGAGGAACAGCTTGATCCATGCAATTGCATAGGAATCCAGCGCTTCGCCGACACCCACTCACTCAAAACCCTCTTCGCAAAATGTCAGACCTTTGCATTACAAACTTTTGAGGATGTGTACCAGCATGAAGAATTTCTTGAGATGGACAAAGATGGACTTATTGGTTATATCTGTAACGATGAACTTATTGTTAGGAAGGAGGAGCTAGTTTTTGAAGCGGTCATGCGCTGGATCTATGAAGATGTTGATCATCGAAGGCCGCTCTTGCCTGAGCTGTTGAACCACGTCCGACTCCCTCTTTTGCATCCCAACTACTTTGTTGAGACTGTTGAGGAAGACCAGCTGATCCAGAATTCCCGTGACTGTTACCAGCTGCTACGGGAAGCAAGAAGGTACCATGTACTTGGTAATGAAATCGTATCTCTGAGAACTAGGCCCCGCAGGTCTACTGGCTATGCAGAAGTGATCATCGTGGTCCGAGGCTGTGAACAAGCAGGAGGATTTAATCTCCCATACACTGAATGCTATAACCCAGTAACAGGAACGTGGAAGTCCCTGGCTAAGATTCCAGAATTCACCAAATCAGCCTATGCTGTCTGTGCACTGAAAAATGACATTCTTGTCTCAGGTGGAAGAATCAACAGCCGCGATGTCTGGATGTACAACTCACAGCTAAATATCTGGTTCAGGGTCGCTCCTCTAAACAAAGGCAGGTGGCACCACAAAATGGCTGTCCTTCTCGGGAAAGTGTATGTTGTCGGAGGCTACGATGGACAAAAGAGACTTAGCAGTGTAGAATGCTACAATTTATTTTCAAACCAGTGGACAGAAGTTGCACCGCTTAAGGAAGCAGTGAGTTCTGCAGTAACAAGCTGCATGAAAAAATTATTTGTGATGGGAGGAGGACCTGATGAGAACTCTTATTCGGATAAGGTCCAATCTTACGATCCAGAAACCAATGCTTGGCTCCTTCGCGCATCTCTCCCAATGGCCAAGAGATACATAACAGCTGTCTCTCTGAACAACCTGATCTATGTTGCTGGTGGAATGACCAAGGCGGTGTACTGTTATGACCCAGTTGAAGACCACTGGATACGTGTACAGGACACAGTCAGTCCACGGGAAAATTGTGGCATGGCTGTGTGTAATGGTAAGATCTATATCCTGGGTGGAAGACTGGAAAACGGAGAAGCCATAAATACTATTCTCTGTTATGATCCTGAAACAAGTATCATCTCAGGGGTCACTATGATGCCCAAGACAGTGTCCTATCATGGCTGTGTAACCATTCATATATACGAGAGACAAGAGAAACACTCTAAGCTCTAAACCCAGGATACCTTACACAAGAAGCCATGCCACTCCAAGAGCAGAATTTTAAGAACTAACCAGTTAACAAGCTCCTTTGTGCTATGTGCAAAAAGAAATAAACCATCCTGATGCCTTTCTGCTCAAAATATCAATAGTTGAAGCAGTAATAAATCCTTTCCTGTAACTGGGGAGTGTGGGGTGTTAAAATAATAGTGGAATAATAGTGGTTAGACCCAGACATAGTAGTGCACGTCTTTAATCCCAGCACCCAGAAGGCAAAGGCAGGTGGATTTTTCTGAGTTTGAGCCTATCCTGGTCTACATAACAAGTTCTAGACCAGCAAGGGCTACACACTAAGACCTTGTCTCTAAAAAATATAATTTGGCCTATGACTATACTCTTGTATCTGTGAGAAACTATGTGGGGTAGAAAATGACTCCCAGCTGCAAGCATCTTAGGGATTTATGCACTGTCTTTTAGAAATGTTCTCTCTCTCTCTCTCTCTCTCTCTCTCTCTCTCTCTCTCTCTCTCTCTCTGTCAGTTATGTAGAGAAAAATTGCCTGCCTTAAGATTCATTTAAGTTGAACTGCCTGATGTTAAGAACATCTAGAATTCATTATGAAGGGAAGAGATGAGTTTTTAACATCCCTGTCACTGACTTTATCCACACTGATTCATTTCACTGAAGGTCTTTTTTTCTAATTGTAAAAATGTAGTGACAGTTCTTTTTTTTAATTTATTTATTATGTATACAGAGCTCTGCCTGCAGGCAGGAAGGGGGCATCAAATCTCATTACAGATGGTTGTGAGCCACCATGGGGATTGAACTCAGGACCTTTGGAAGAACAGCCAGAGCTCTTAACCACTGAGCCATCTCTCCAGCCCTGTAGTGACAATTCTTTTTTTTTTTTTTTTTGGTTTTTTGAGACAGGGTTTCTCTGTGGTTTTGGAGCCTGTCCTGGAACGAGCTCTTGTAGACCAGGCTGGTCTCGAACTCACAGAGATCTGCCTGCCTCTGCCTCCCGAGTGCTGGGATTAAAGGCGTGCGCCACCACCGCCCAGCTGTAGTGACAATTCTTGAAATTCCCTGGCGTGAGTGGTAAGGAAACACGGAACATGCAACAAAACCAATTAGGAGTTTATTGGGCGGGGATACAGGCCTGGTGAGGTCGGTGTGTGGGGGAGGGAGAGGGGGTGATGGAGGAGGGGGGTAAATGGAAGGGAGGGAGAGAGAGGGAGGGAGGGAGGGAGGGAGGGAGGGAGGGAGCGGAGGGAGGGAGGGGAGGGGAGGGAGGGAGGGAAAGAGAGAGGGAAGGAGAGAGGGAGGGAGGGGAGGGGAGGGAGAGGGAGGGAGGGGAAGGGAGGGAGGGAGGGAGGGAGGGAGGGGAGGGAGAGGGAGGGAGGGGAAGGGAGGGAGGGAGGGAGGGAGGGAGGGAGGGAGGGAGGGGAAGGGAGGGAGGGAGGGAGGGGAAGGGAGGGAGAGGAAGAGGAAGATGGTGTCTCCAGTTTTAAAAGGCTGCCCAGGGCATGCGCACAGGGGGATGGCATGGTTATGTCATATGCAGATGACATAGCTCATGCATGCATGCAAGGCCTCACACAGTTGTATCAGATGTAGGTGATGCAACCATGCTGCACGTGGGTCACCCAGGGTCCTCTAAGATCCCCGGGGCCATTAGGCACTTCTGCCTGAGGGCTTGTCTGCACACGCATGGCCCTGGAACCCGGAAGTGTCAGCCATGCTGTCGCTGAATCATAACAATTCTGCTACCATAAAATACCAAATTTTATGACTTTATATGATGTGGGAGTGATTTCTTTCTAATCTGTTGCTTTCATTGGTTAATTAATAAAGAAACTGCCTAGGCCCATTTGATAGGCCAACCCTTAGGTAGGTGGAGAAAACAGAACAGAATGCTGGGAGAAAGAAGCTGGATCAGAGAGTCGCCATGATGCTCCCACTCCAGACAGACGCAGGTTAAGATCTTCTCTGGTAAGCCACCTCGTGGACTACACAGATTATTAGAAATGGGCTAGTCCAGGTGTGAGAGTTAGCCGAGAAAAGGCTAGATATAATGGGCCAAGCGGTGTTTAAAAGAATACAGTTTCCGTGTAATTATTTCAAGTATAAAGCTAGCCGTGCAGGCGGCTGGGTGGTGGGGACGCAGCCCCGCCACTCCTTATTACAACATTTATAGACTGTTCTCTGATATTAAATACTTTTTGTAGCTGGGCGGTGGTGGTGCACTCCTTTAATCCCAGAACTTGGGAGGTAGAGATCTCTGTGAGTTCGAGGCCAGCCTGGTCTACAAGAATGAGTTCCAGGACAGGCTCCAAAGCTACACAGAGAAACCCTGTCTCAAAAAACTAAAAATAATAATTAATTAATTAATACTTTTATAAAATTATGTAAGATATATAACAATAAAGAGATTTAAATTATACTTTAGTCCCTAGGGGGAAAATTAAATAACTAGCAAAGAAAAAAACTGTGATCCGCTTTGGTTCTCAGAGTACTTAATGAATCAAAACCGGGCAGTGGTGGTACGCGCCTTTAATCCCAACACTCAGGACACAGAGGCAGGAGGATCTCTGTGAGTTCGAGGTCAGCCTGGTCTGCAGAGTGAGTTCAAGGACAGCTAGGGCCATTGCACAGAGAAACCCTGTCTCAAAAAAGCAAAAGAAACAAACAAAAAAACTAACAGAAGAATCGAAATCCCTTGACAGAGCCAGGCAGGTACTACACACCTGTATCCAGGATCTGGAAGGCATGGGCTGAAGAGTTGGTTCAGTGTTTAAGAATGCTTACTGCTTCTACCAGGCTTTTTCTTTTGGGCCACCAACCAGCTCCCAAGTCATGACCCAGAGACTTACTATTACTTCTGAATGCCCGGCCTTGTTTCTGACTAGCTCTTTCAATTTAGCCTGTTTCTCTTTATCTATCTTTTATCTTAGGACTTTTTAACTTTTCTTTCCTCTGTATCTCTTCCTTCACTGCTTCACTGGCTGCCAGCCATGTGGCTGGCTTCTGGCCCTGGGTGTGTCCCCCTCTTTCTCTTTGTTCTCTCCTTTCTTCTCCTCTCATTCTCTCCCCGTCTAGATTTCTCCTCCTACTTATTCTCTCTGCCTGCCAGCCCTGCCTGTCCTTTCACTACCTAGCTCTTTATTAGACCTTTTAATCAGGTGCCTTAGGGAGGCGAGATGTAACAAATACAACATATCTTTACATAGTTAACCACACATCCTTAAATTGTTAAACAAATACACAAATAAATAAAAGTAACACACCTTTACACAGTTAAAGCAATATTCCGCAGTATAAACAAACGCAACACGTCTTTGCCTAGTCAAAGTAATATTCCACAACAACTGCTTTTGCAGAGAACCCTGGTTTGGCTCCAGCACCCATATCAGATAGTTCACAAAGGCTTGTAATTCTAGTTCCAGGAACTCTAACACCCTCTGACCTTCCTGGGCATCTACAGGCATTTGGTGCCCATAAATTCACACAGACACACATATATAGGTACGTAAAAAAATACATGTTTTTAAAAACCAAATGTGTTTTTGTAATACTGCTATAAGAAAACACAAACAAGAACAGGTTTGCTCCGTACCTAGCCCAATAGAGTTGGACCTTACTAGTCTGAAGTTTTGTCGAGTACCTCTTCCCTAACTTGCAAGCATCTACCAGCCCTAGGAATCCCTACACTGATTCCTCAATCGTGTAAAGCAGAAGCCACTGTTCTCAGTGGAACCACTTTTTGCAAATTAAGTCTGAGCAACACTGGCCAGCAGCAGTTTCATTTTTCTGAGAGAATTCACCTATTTGGGAGCCGTTGTATAAAATATTGATCCATGTTTTCAAATTTCTATTCATTTTTTTTCTCTAGGTTTTTTTCGCCTCCATTTGATAAAGCTTACCAATAAGGCAATCATCAAAAGCCAAACAGTGGCAAACTTTTTCTTCCTCGTCTTAAAATAATACAAACATTTCTTAACAGTAGTCGGTGCTTAATTGGAATCTAGAAAAAAAGAGACCTTTCCCCATAAGCTGTTTTGTGTGGGTGAACAATAAAGGCACCAATGTTAAGCAGAAATGTAGATTTGGTGACCGAGACCAATAGGAATCATCTTACCAGGGAGTTGGCATGGGCACAGAAGCTGGTTTGGGAGTTCAATGTGACTTCAGGAATGCTAAGAGGACAGGAGGGGATGGTGTAGTAAGGACAACTGAATGTGCCTCTGGTTCAGTTCCAAATCTCAGGGAATAGGACAATGGGCCATTTTCCAAGATAGGGTATCATTGGAAAGGTGACTGAAGGTAAGAAGACCCATAAATAGATAAAGGCAGGAAAAGAGACCTCTCCAGGATGCAAAGGAGAGGTTGGGTTAAGAAGGAGGGGGTCTAGGGAGATTTTTTTCTCCGTGGAAACAGAAGATTAGTGAAGATTTGCTTTTTCTCTCTTCCTAGAAAGACATGATCGTGTTTGGATCTTCAATCACAGGAGACAGTCACAGAGAAGGGGGATTCATAGATCGCTGTCATGACTGAAAATATTAGTACTAGGTTTCTTCCAAGAGATAGAACTAACTCCTTGCGTTATTCCTCCTCCTCCTTCTCTCCCCTTACACACCCCTCTTTTGTGGGTTCAGAGATCAAACTCAGGTTATCAAGCTTGGTGGCAAGCCCCTTTACCCACTGAGTCATCTCACCAGTCTAGAGTTTCAATAAATTCTTAACGTATTTGATAAATAATCCCTGTTCCTTGTAAAGAATTTGAAAAACATAAGGACAAGCGAGAGAGAATAGGAGATCCATCCAAAGAAGTGAGTCCAAACTCTTCTGACCACCGCCACAGTATAGAATGGGTCTTTTGAGCTGCAGATGGAGTTTTGTATGCATAACATACACAAGGTGCCAGGTGGTGGTGGCCCAGGCCTTTAATCCCAGCACTCGGGAGGCAGAGGCAGGTGGATCTCTGGGAGTTTGAGGACAGCCTAGTCTACAAGAGCT